CTAGTGTGCTGAATGAACCTTAACTCCCAAGAGAGTTTAATGTTAGGGTTAAGCTTTTGAATCAAATGTAAGACCAAGGGTGGGATTTGCTTTCCTCAAATATTGCTTAAAGTAAATGCTATCAGATTCAAGAATTTTAGGACATTTTAGACAAGGTTTCTAAAAGTTGCTTCTCATGAAAAGAGCACTGGTAAGAATCTGTGGGGAAATTTGTTTGGGGATAGAAATCCATCAGATTCCCTGGGCTCAGCTCCTTAGACTCCAGTCATTGCAGCCCTGAGTCTGAATTCTTGATGAGCACACCCAGCATTTGTACAGTGCTGCCCAGAAAGAGAAAGGAAGAAAAATAGCAAATTTCACTGATTTCAACCCTTTGCCTTGAAAGAGCCCTAAAAACAGCTGTAAAAACTTGTACTTACAAGGTTGGAAGACACTGTAAAACACTGGTTTGGTTCATACAATTGCTCTGTCAATCATGGGTTATTTATTTAAGTCATGGTGCGTTGCAGCATGTACTAGCAGCCACTGTGAATATTCAAGCCACAATGGATGGTACCTGTTGCTTACTGCAGCATCCAACCCCTACACAAGGTTGGTTGTTGTCTTAGTTAACAAACCAACTCCCAACCCATAATCAGTTTATGAGTTACCGATAGTTAACTATGACAACAACTCCTCCTTTCTGGGTTTGGCTGTCATGATATGTCCCAGTGACTATCCACTGTGGCTTGAATATTCACAACAGCTGTAGACAAGTGCTGCAAACCACTTTGACTTAAATTAACTAGGGCTGGCTGTAGCGATTGTGCAAAGCAAGTATGTGAGGTGGGGGCAGTGGGGTGAAAGCAAAATCATCCAGAATCACTGCTTTGCCATCTTTCTCCAAAGTGCTACATTGCAGTTCTTTCTGACAGTGGTGGGACCCCTTCCATTGACAGAGGGCAATTTTGGATCCAACACAGTGAACTGAAAGATTAACCAAGATGTCAGGAACCAAATTATCATTATCATTACTGGAGAAGAACTAGTACAACATTTTAGATACACAGAAAACACAGCACTAGAGTATGGGGCACAGCTTATGTGCGAGGACAAAATAATTCTTTAAAGAGCTCCAAACTATATAGGCTAGCTAGTTCAGTGCATCATCTTCTGTGAAGGTTAGAAAAATTTGATCAGACACAGAATGTTCTTTCTGAGTATACAAAGTCTTACAATGCTGGCTATCTCCTCACCGAATGAACACTGATACAGCATCAGTAAATGGCATCAGTGAAACAAGAACATCAAACCAAGAGAAAATCCATGTGGGCTGTCCTTTTCATTTTTCTTTTTTTAACAACCAGGCATGTGCCTGAAATTGAAACTTATTGTCAGTATTTCATTTAAACCCTGGGAAAAAATACCTCATGTTTAAATAACCACTTCTGTAATATATAAAATAGCTATGCCTTAAACAGAGGTATTCCCTAAATATGCCTTTACATAGCAAATATCAGGAGCCACTTTGATAGGAACATATTTACATAAAATAATTTTCTCTCTTCCTCTCACCCAAATGTTAAATGGGATCATATGATAAATCAGTCACACTGAACAGTGTGCAATTCTTCGTTGCATACAGGTAGAGTTAAACCCTCAGAGCTTTAGATATATGTTACAATGCAGTCTCCACTAAGGAAAGCAAGAGTGAACACTGTGGGTGCAATCTAGATCCCAAAAGAGTGAATGACCATGTTCACACACAACACAAGGGTAGTTAATAACCCACAGTGACTGGTAGCTGATGAACAATAGTATGGTCTCTGGGTGGTTTGTTAACCACCACAGTTACCTTCACCTGGTTCAGATGTTTTAGGAAGTTAAATCCAGCAAGGATAATATGGTAAATTGGGTGGCATGTGACCAGCACATGTGGGGATGCTTAACAAACCACAGTAGTTTATTAATAATGGTCACATTGTGTGAACTGGGAGAAAATGAAGGCTTCCAGTGATTTCAGCAGAAGTAGACTGTATTTTCATAGTGTAATTCTAAACTTACAAGCAAGTAAGCTCCATTGAGCTGCATGGGTCTTAAAATCTGAAGAAACGTGCAGAAGACTTCAATGTTACTCACTTTTTGGATCTGCTTTGCATATTTATTTAATCTGCATTGTAATTTAAATCCAGAGCTTATCTTTTAGAGGGCATCTGATTTGTCCTTCTTCCTGCATATCTTGGTACATCTTACATTACTTAATTATTATGAAAGGCTGACATTTGCTTTTGATGACAAAGGCTTCTCATTATCTGGCTTACTTAAGCAAACATTTTTATATAAGTAAAAAACAGAAATAGAAACAACACAGAAGAGGAAGTTCTGTGTTAGTTGTTGAGCTCAGCATTGTCTCCTATATTCAGAACAATATTCAATTCTGCTTATCTGTATCTGTGAATGAAATGTCCACAAATATTTGTTTGGTTTTTCTGGTGAATATGAGCCAGAAGAAAATGTTCATCATGTGCATCTCTCTAGTTGGCTGTCATTGGGTTGGGCTTTTTAGAGAAGATTCTTAGCAAAGAGAAAGGTAGTCTGTGGTTATTCCTTGTACTCAAGGAACTTAAATGGAAACAAACACAAGTTTGTCATTTTCAGTTTGAACCTCATATTTGATGATTTCATACCTTGAAAGAATTGCAACCACAAAAACTGCACTTAAATCTTGTTTATTGAAATGGAATTTCAGCCAAGCAATTCCCAATGCTTCTCTGAAAGGTGTTTAAAAAAAAGTTAAACAATTAGAATAGATTTCTAAAATATTCATGGTTCTTCTTTGTGGTCTCTGTGCATCACACATATGGGTGCTGTGCCTGCACAGAGCCTCTGTTCAAGAAGATTCTAGCCTAAAGAGGCTAAGCCTAGAATTTTTGGTGGGAGCTCCGCCCCCTTTCTCACTTAATATAAATACACAGGCTCCCACCATTTTCTCAGTTTGCTTTCTACCGGTGTTGCAGTACCTCAGGATTTCTAGTGTTCTTCTCTTGTTTTTACCTCAGCTTTTACTCCTTCTCTATTCACCTTAACTGTTCCATTTTTCACAAAACTTTTCTTCCTTATTTCACTGTTTCCTTCCCACCTACATTTTTTTTAAAAAAACCTCTATTATCTCTCCTCTTGCCTCAGACTTTTCCTTGTTTCACTCAGTCTTCTCTCTCTTCCGTTGCTGGTGGCTCACAAACTGGCCTTTCGAAAGTATACGAAATGTGGCGTTAAAATGGCATCCACAGACGAATACTGTTTGTGGCTCTTCTGCTTGGGGAAAGAGAAATGGCCATACTCTGAGGCATTTATTAAACAAGCTTGCAAAAATAGAGCTGAACACATGAAACTGGAAATGTGAGAAAGGGCTCTTATTGCTATGAGGGCGTTGCCAGCAACTAAAACAATTGCACTGCCATTTCCAGAGAAGCCATTAAAAACCATCCTTCCTCCAGGGCAACAGCCACACCAAAGCCTACTCCCTCAGTTTCTAAAGAACCAGCCTCTACCAATGCACCTAAAAAACATCAAGACCAAAAGTAAGGTCAGAAGCAGGAAACCAACTAAGGAGGCAGTTGGACCACTGGATAATAGCATGGATAAAGAAGAATAAGGAGACTGCAGAAAGGCTGAATGAATTGTTTTAATTGTTCTTCATTGCAGAAGATATGGGACACATACCTATGTCTGGACTTATGTTTTCAGGAAGCATGTCTGAGGAACTGAGGCAAATAGCTGTGATTGAAAAGTATTAAATAGTTGGCCTAGATGGGAATCATCCTAGAGTTCTCAAAAGAACCCATGCAGAATTGCTGATCTTCACTGCCACCATTTAACCTTGGTTCTATTATTGTTAGCAAACCTGAGTGCCATTTGATTTTTGAAAAGTTGGAATATGCACTCATACACTTGAGTAAATACACATATAACATACAGGATTCCGCCTTTGTTGTGTGCCTTAAAAAATGAATCCTGCACACTTGAAAGGTGCCTGTGATCACAAATCTGAAGCACTGATGCATGTAAGATTTCAAGTAGCTGCATCAATAGGAGATCATTCTACACAGTCTCTATATTTTATTTATTTATTTAAAACATTTCTATGCTGCCCCCATCGCAACAAAGCCTTGGGGCGGCTCACAAAGAATACATAAAACATTAATAATAATAATAATAATAATAATAATAATAATAATAATAATACAATTTAAAAGAAAAAAGTTCAGGAAGTGTAAATTAAAATGTTCCTATTAAAATATTAAACCAAAATATTGTCACCCTCCACTGTTCTTGTATCCTATGATTCCCTGGGAAGAAGCACAGTGGTTCAGAGGAACCTGAATTATGCCAGTTTCAAATATTGCAACCCTTCAACAATCAAGCTGTACTCCTCTTTTTCTGGAGATAAGACCATGGTGGGCAATTATACTGACAACTTTCTTCATGTCTGTGGATGATATGGTTCTCTCACCACAAGGGAACACATTGTTTTCTGAAAGAATTGGAAAAGATAGGAACCAATTTCTATGGCCTTTCCATTAAAAAAAATCCTTTATAAGAACACACATACTAGTGAGAGTCAAGCTCCACTGCACAATATTGCTCAATATTATACTCACACAAATATATTCCTTTTCTGTGGAGTACATTTCCAGCAAGGAATCAACCATATTTGCTTTTATTGTCTTTGTTTTAAGTGTGCTTCAGTGATAGCAGAGAAGGAAAGCATCTAGCTTCTAAAGCATTTTATATTTTCTAACAGCTAACAGAGGGTAGGGAATCATACAGGAAAAGTTGTTTGCTTTGTCGCCAGTGTTTTCATGGTCACTAGCCAATAGTTTCCCACAACATTTGCGCCTGTTCCTGTGTAACTATTGGAATTGGCATGCCAGCTGAGAGGAAATGTTGGCAATTGCCTTTTTAGTGGTAACCACAGGTATTTCTACAGATAAGTTACTTTGCTAATCTTTGTTTTGCAGGTTGTCACTCTATGGTACAGAGCTCCTGAAGTTTTGCTTCAGTCCAGTTATGCAACACCAGTTGATCTTTGGAGTGTTGGCTGTATATTTGCAGAAATGTTCCGTCGAAAGTAAGAAATAATTTAAATCCTTTTAATTGTTTTGGAAAGGTGCAATAACATTGGCTTGAATCCAAAAAACTATAGGGTTCTATCCAATTGTATATCAAATTTACTCTCTCCCACCCTGCAGTCCTTGCCCCCCATGAAAGAATTGTGTAAATGCAATTCCATTAATACTAACAGTCATGATAAAAAGCAGCAATGAAAATTACAATGCAGAACAAAGCACCAGTCATAACATGTTTAAGGAAGGGATTCTCTACCCAGGACTCCATCACTAAGAAAGCCCTGCTGTTTGTGCTTTTCTAACACTTTTTTTTAAATAAGGAAGGCACTTGGAGTTGGGACTCAAAAGAAAATCCTACAGACTGATAGGAAGCACATCTCTTCCAGGTATTTAAGGTACAGGTTGTATAGGTCTCTATGCTCTTCCCACTATGCAAGTCAGCTAAATGACTAGTTTAGCCGGGTGCTTCAGACAGAGAGTGAAGGATGGAGTACTACCAGGATATTTCTTTTTGTGGGGACTGCAGCCTCCTCTGCTCCCCACCTTGCCTCACAACACTCTTCATGCCTTCTCTAAGGTCATTTTCTGACCTCAGGGAAGCAGTTGGTGGGAGTTTAGAAGTGGAATGTGGATCTCCAGCACCAAGATCAAAGCTGTTTCCAAACCTGGATCTCGGACCGTGAAGAATCCAGGAACACCCCCCCACCCCAAACATTGTATAGGGATCACAGGATCACCCTCTTGCCTGAGCTTTGCCCTGGTGAGATATGGGAAATAAAACTCTGAGTTCTAGCACAAATAAGATCCTTGAGGTATTCATCACATTTTACAGTCCAAGTGATAGAGGCCATGTATTACATAGGAATCAACAGTAGTTGAGAGAGAGGTCTTTGTTTTCAGACAATGCATGTATTTGTTCCAGCAGGCATGTCCTTAGAGGGAACAATCCTTTATGTATGGGAGAGAAGGATGAATGCCTCTTCTAAGATAGTTGCTGTTACATTTGTATTTTTAAATGTGTCGTCTGAGTAACTGAATGTGCATTTTAGTGGATCAAACTATTTTGATTAATTTAACTGATGATGATGATATTTCTATACCACCAACTAGCTGAAACTCTCTGACCAGTTTACAGCTGACTCAAGTCTCAATTCTATGCATGTTTAGATAGACTAAACTCCCAGCATTCCCCAGCTGCATGATTGGCTGGGGAATGCTGGGAGTAACAGGAGCTTTTTCAGTCTAAACATGCATAGGACTGAACCTAAATGACCCAACATTTAAATCTAATTTAGAAATAGTTTGCTTTCGTGGTTAAAAATTAAAATATTGATTACTGATTTCAGAATCATTTTTAATGTATATGTGAAGCAGAACTAGGTGACATTAGCTTTTCTTCTGTAGATGCTAAAACAGATCAGCTTAGCCATCTAAGAGTTAAATGCAAGTGAACACGGTTGGAAAAAATAGAAAGTAAATGTTGAAGAATTGTTCTGTCTTTTTACAACACTATTGTTAATTGTTTCAGATGTATGGAGTTAAAGTATGGAAAGAACCTGCATTAAATGTTTTCAAATGGGGTTTTGTGTTTGGAGGTGGAGGGAAGGAGCGATGGAGGTGATTTTTGCCTCTCTGTCCTTTTGCCTCTATCTTCCTTTCCCTCTAGACAGATGGGCCTCTGGAAAGGGCACACTGATGGGGGCTGCATCCAGGACTGCATCCAGGCAGTTCCTGGGTTATGAATGAGTTCCATTGCTGAGAAAACAGAAATTTGTCTTGAAAATGAATTTGTATGTAAGTTGGATCATGTATTATTGGTACTCTATATTCATGCAGGACCCCATAAAAGTGGAAAACCATGAATATCTCTAGCCACCCCTACCCCCATCCAAACTCACCAGTGCTTCTCTTTGCATCATGGAAACCATAGGATTAACTGTTAGAGTGACGTCCAATGTGGCTGCCCATAACCCTCTGAACTCAGGGGTTTGGGTATCCAGTGGAGGATGGGAGAAGTGCAGAAGCAAATATTGCCTTTGCACGTCCATCATTCTCCAAAACAATAAGTTTATTTGCCCTGTATAAGTATTTTAAGCATCTAAGTGTTTGCAAGGAGGAGGGACTGAAACACTGCTGGTATTCTTCAAACCCTGACAAAATTCCCCTGCTCCCCTTTCTCTCCACCCAGCACTGGATCCAAAATTGGACTTGAGACATCAGAGCTGCAGCGGGCATGCCAGCCACTAGAGCAGGGGAGGGCATTCTAATTTCAGAGCCCCTGCTCTGGCCTCAGGATCCTTGTCCAAGATCATTGCTGGAGCTGGATTTTACTATGGCTATCCAGGTGGAGATACTGTTATGCTCCTAGTTGCTCCTGCAATAGCAACTACATAAATATTATTATTTAAGACTAATTGCAAATGAAGATCCAGCAGTGATATAGTAGCAATAAACTCTGAAGTTTTGCAGGCTCCCACAGATTATTTCTGGAGTTAAAGTGTGTGATGCGTGGCACTCTTAACTCTTATTCAAACTTTATTGTGAGTCTTATAAAGCTCCCTTTTAATTAGCTTTTCTAGAATGAAAGTACATTTGACTGCTAGGTCAATATTGAAACAAATCAAATTGTTTGTTTAAATATCATGGGACTTAGGCTTCCTTTTTCTTATTGCTTTTTGATTGTTAATCTTCCTTAAAGGATACTAACTGTAGATTCAGTCTCCTGGATTTTCTCACCAATTCATGTGAGAAGTCACTTTGGTAGGGTAAGAACTGTGCTGTCACTGTGCAATTCAAAGCTTCACATGTAATTTCACTTATGTCCTGTGATCCCCTGACCAGAGCAGTAGAAATAACATAGTAGTTAACATGCTGATCATTTGCATAATTATACTCAGCAGCACACCTTGCCATGACACAAGAACCCTGCAAAGGTGTCTTGTTGCCTGTGGTTAAGAAGTCACCCAGAACCTATGGAGTGTTGTAGGGCTCTGCCTGGCTTTTAAACCACAGGAACACTGGGTCTGCACAACAAACTTCACTAGCAAGGGTAGATAAGCAAATTTCCCCAGAATGTGCAGCAGGGAAGATAAGCCACCGTGGCTTATTTTCTGCCCCATGATTGTGCAAGCCAGGTCTTAGCTACTGGGAAAATTCATTTTGCTCCAGCTACTGTGAGGATTGCAACTAAGTTCATTTGCCACTCTGGGTAGCAAAAGGTATTAGTATCCCTGCTACATCGCTACAAGCCCTGGGTCCACCATACCATTGTTCTCAGGGTAAATGTCCTCTTGCAGATGGTAATCTAGAAATATAGGGTCAGTGAGGGGAGAATTAGAGACCACTGCCCCATTAACCAGACATTGACAAATAGTCACGCTCCTAGTATTTATGCCTGGCTCAGGCAATATGGGGCCTTTTACTCCTTACCTCTCAATTGTTTCTGATGTGCAGAATCCATACTAAACCTGAGCAGGGCTCTTGAGGCTTGATTGGATAATTGTCCATGCAGAATCTTTACTTCAGTTTTGGGTGTTCACAGTAACATACACCCATCCTATATTGGACCTGTGCACAATAACTGAACCCATTTATGCAGTGAGTTTTTAAAAATCACAGCTCTTTAAGAAAGTTCTGACCTTATTCAAACCCTTTTGTAATGATATGACAAAAGAGGCTTGTCTGATATTTACTTGTGTGTTCAATGAGATACAGTCATTTATTTTGAGTTATACCTTCCCATGGGTTACATCTGAGTATGAACTAAGCTGAATTAAGATAATTCATACAGCTGCTCTTAACAATAAGTTATTGAAGATTTAATTCATAGTATTTACTTAGATATGCCCCCAAATAGAAATATTCAACATTGGTTTAAGCCTTTCTAAGAATCATGAAAATTTCCACTTTCAAGACCTGCTACCTTAAAAGCCATTGAGCTACCATAATTCTGAAGTTACAGGAAAAGGAAGAGTTTAGGCTGAGGACATTCAATATTATGGTGACATAAAAGAAAACATGGTTTTTTAGATCCATGCCTGCTTTTTTGACACCTGTATCAGTTATGGATAACATGTTTATCTTGCAAGATATACAGGGAGTACTTGATTTGTGCTGCATTCAGATTGCATTTCTAATTCTGAAACATCTTTCATTTAGCTCTGTTTGTGTACCCCGGGGCAAAGATTTAGGACTCTGCTAAAAATATTGCTTTTCAGCAGACCAGTGTGCCTTGCTGCCCTTTTGTCTGTAGTGAAGCATGATTCAAGCTGTCATTGTTATTCTGTTACATTGAGAGGTCACTAGGTTAACTTAGAGGTCTGTGTTCATTCAGCCTTGATGGTAGGAGTCCCAGACTCCAGAAGCAAGGCTAAAATCTCCAAATCTAATAGACTGGCCACCTGTCTAGAGATGAATTAAAATCTAGTCCAGACTGGCTCATGAGCCTGTAAAACATCTGCATGCTCATGAAAGACAAATGAGTGGAGAAGAAAAATGTATTTTAAATGTTGAAGAATTTCAAATCTAGGTGGTTTCTTCTAAAAGAAAGAGAAGTGTTCTTCTAGATTGGAGTCCTCTACACTTAAGTGAAGGGAAGACCAATATGGTCTACTTTTAAGGAAGTGTGTATAAGATTGCACAGGTAGTATGGTTCTTAGAAACAGCTCTGTTAAGTTATTCTTTAAAACTTTTTTTTTAAATACAGCCAACTCCAACCTGGTTACAGGGACATTAGTTCAGTGGCAGCAAAATAAGTAAGCTCCATTGAACTTAATAGGGCTTTATTCTTGTAGGCATGCATGGAATTGTACTGTTAAAAGAATTGTGATGCCCACTTCTTGATTTTCAATTAGTTGCACAATTGTGGGTCCTGTTCTATTAACACTTCTTTGTCACAACTATTTTCACAGAAACCAAACAGGTAAACTGAATCAATTGTTCCTATAATTAACTCTAAGAATATTTCTGTCTTTCTTTTTACTACATCAAATTACATCTCTTC